ACCCCAGGGTGCAGCCAGGGCCCCTAGGTCTCTGTCCTGGGCCACTTGGGGTTCACGTGCCACCAAGAAAGGCCACTCAGCTGGGAGGGGCCTTCCCAGCCCATGGTGGGACCAGGGAGGCTCCTGGAGGGCAGTGCTCACGGGGAGGGCGCCGGGTGGGCAGCAGGGGGCGAGGGGCTGGGGCTGGACAAGCAGGTCGCTCAGGGACGCAGGGAGTGTCCCGAGGGGAGACACAGGGCTGAGGCGCACAAGTCCTGGGGGGCCTCATCCATCCCGGGCCCCACCCCCAAGCATCCTGGGATTGGCAGCTGCTCCAGGACGCTGCCCCTCCCGCCCCACAGTCCTGTGCGGTGGCCCCTGTGCCCAGGCGGTGGGGCCGGAGGGAGGAGCTGCTGGGACCTCCGTGCCCTCCCAGCTGTGGAGCCCTCTCTGACTCACAGGGACCCGAGCCACACTGACAGGAGAGGAGGGCAAGAGGAGGGGTGCTGAGGACGGAGTTGGGGGTGCAGCCTCCTCCCCCTCACCTGGGGCCTGAGGGAAGTGGGCCCCCAGCGCCCAGTCACTGGGCACCCTGGACTCTGTGGTGGAACCTGCACTGGGCCTGCCGGCCACCAAGGCCAGCCACCCCCACCCTCCACGGCCCCTCTGGCCAGAGACATGGAAAGACCCACAGGTCTGTCTTTGATCAACGCTCAGGAGTGGCACCAAGGAGCGGGCACAGGATCCGGGTGACAGCCAGGGAGACGCCGACTCCACCTCCAGAGGCAGGGAGGCCGCAGGTGTGAGACACAGGCAGACGGGGAGGGGACGGGGCGGGGCAAGTTCAGAAGCAGCACCTCCACACGAGGGACCAGGGACCGTCCGCAAGGCATGGGCCCATTGGTCAGTGGAGGGGACCAGCCACTGCAGTCAGAGTTCCCGGGTCACAGTGCACATTGAACGAAAGGGATGTAGAGCAGCGACTTAAATGTAAGAGGAACCCACCGTGTACAGAGAAATGTGCAGCATTTTTATATAAACGCTGCCTGGGGAAAACAGCCCTCAGAAGCCTTTCGCAAAATCAGAAGACAAACGGAGGAAATATTTGCAATGTACAACGTAGAGCTCATTTTCTTAATGAATAAAGAGCTCCTACAATTTAATAAGAAGTAAACAAGCCAACAGAAAATGAGCAAGGGCCAGGACACAGTGTATAGAAAAGGAAAACAAGTCTCACTTCTGAGACTGATATCCAACTCCGAGACTGCACGTTGCCTGGCGAAGATCGATGACGGCCATGAACACGCAGAGGGCGTGGGGGTCAGACCTGGGGTCCGTCGTGAACACGCCGAGGGCGTGGGGGTCAGACCTGGGGTCCAACGTCGTGAACACGCCGAGGGCGTGGGGGTCAGACCTGGGGTCCATCGTGAACACGCCAAGGGCGTGGGGGTCAGACCTGGGGTCCGTCGTGAACACGCCGAGGGCATGGGGGTCAGCCCTGGGGTCCGACGTGAACACACCGAGGGCGTGGGGGTCATATTGTGCTGGCGGGAGGGTGGACTGACACCACTTCTGGGAGCCACACTGCAGTCTCACCACATGGGACTTGCCCCACTGCCCTGACCAGCACCCCCTCCCAGGAGTGAAGCCCAGGAAGCATTCACGTGTGAGAAGACACGTGTGTGAGAAGAGACGCGTGTGAGAAGACACGTGTGTAAGAGACGCGTGTGAGAAGACACGCACGCACGCACACCTGCCACAGGACTGCTGGCCACAGCGAGGGGCAGAGCCCTTGCCAACAGTGAACCTCCATGCACACCACGGCCGTCCGCACACCGAGGCCACGCGGGCACGGGGCAGCCCCTCCCACGGCAGAGGAAGGGCCCGTGAGCCAGAGAAACCGGACAAACTTTTCTAAAACTGGGAATTAACAGACTCAGAACAATCCGGGGAGTGTCCATCCGAGAAAACAGCTGGGCCTGAGTTGGGCCGCCCTGTGGCTTCAGTGTGCGCTGCTCCCACTGCCCTCAGCTCCGGGCCCGGCAGGGGGAGCCTTGTCCTCAGGGCACGGCCACCTGATGACCGCCCAGCGGCTCGCCTCTACCCGCGTGCTCGGTGCGGGTTGTCTCACGATGCAGCTGCTGGCGGGACACCAGCTGGGCAAACCAGAGGCGGACCAAGACCCCAGCCCTCACCGCTGACTGACCCTGAAGCTCTGCACAGCGGGCGGGGAGGCGGGCAGCTTTGGCACTGCCTGGCGGAGTGCTGAAGGTCCGTCAGCTGGCCGGTACCCTGACCCAGCAGAGGCCTCACGGCCAAGCACAACACAGAACAGACTTCACAGAACTCATCACACACTGAGCAGTCTGACTCCAGGCTTGCTACGTCGTATTATTTAAAATGTCCAATTTTCAATCACAAGACAATTATGAGACACACAGAGACAGGCAGTGAGACCCGCACACAGGCAAGCCCGGAGTCCAGAGAGACCGCCTGGCTCGCCCAGCTGAACTTCCGGGACAACGGCTTCGATGCAACCACTCGAATATGTTTAGAGAACCAACGGGAACCACAGCTCGGGAACGAGTGCGAGAGCGACGTCTCAGCAGAGAGAGAACACCAGGAGAGGGAATCGCAGACGAGAACAAGCAGAAGGGCTGGTGCCGAGAAGGACAAGGCCTCTTCCAGCGAAACCGAGTCAGGGCGGGCCCATCGCACTTTCACTGGCAGGAGGAGGAGCCTGGACCTTGCAGAGAAGCCGCCAGGTCCAGCCTGAGGGACAGAAGGGTGAAGAACACACAGGCCTCAGAAAGGTGATCGGCCCAACGGCCGCACTCACAGTGGCCGCCGAGGATGAGGCGGGGCGGGACTCCCCCACAAAGTAACGGTCAAACTGGTCAAACCGTCCAAATTCCACATCGAGAAGCTCAACAGCCTCCAAGTAGGACACACACGATCCCCCCGGTGCCTCCCGGGGACACGTCAACGACAGGCGGCTCGGAAGCAGCAGGAAACCCACCTCACGTGCCTCAGGCTCCGCCGTGTCGGCGACAGCGGCTTCTCGTCAGTCCACGAGGCCAGATGGCGATGGGGCACGGGTTCCAAGTGTTAGAGGACTGTTAGCGAATTCTACTCCCAGCAAAGCTTGTCTTCATAACGGAGGAGGAGGAACGAAGACATTCCCCCACAGACATGGAGAGAACTCACTGTTAGATCTTCCTTCAAGAAATAAAAGGGGCATCTCTGAGGCCCAAGTGAGAAAACACTAGACTCAACCCCACCAGGAAATGAGCACTGCCAAAGGCAACCACAGAGCCAGACAGAAGACAGTATGACTGCACGTCTGTTTCTGAACCCTGCCTGTCCCTGATGTGAGCCAGCTGCATAAAGCAGGCCCATGTGGGTGTCCACGACACCGTTCACGGGCCTCACGTCAACTCAGAAGCCTGCTCTGCTGGGTCAAGCATTTCATTAACTCACCCTACTGCCAGGGCAGGGCCAGACCAAATAATTTCACTCAAACTCCCAAAATACTTTCTTCCGACCCTATAGAAATAAAGACTATAAACTAATACTATGAACAACTATATGTCAGCAAATTGTAACAACCCAGATGAAATTCCTACAAACTACTGAAGCTGACTCAGGAGGGAATAGGAAATCAAACAGATCGATAAAACATTGGATTAGTAGTAAGACAAGTGAAAACTTCCCATTTGTACAAAAGTCACATGAAAAGATGCTCATGTGGCTCAGTGGTTGAGCGCCGACCTATGAACCAGGAGGTCACGGTTTGATTCCTGGTCAGGGCACAGGCCCGGGTTTCGGACTCGATCCCCAGTGTGGGGCGTGTAGGAGGCAGCCGGTGATTCTCACATCATTGATGTTTCTCTCCCTCTCTGGAATCAATAAAATAGTATTTTTTTTAAATGCTCAATATCATCAGTCACTAGGAAAATGCAAACCAAACCTCACCCACGAGGATGGCTGTGGTTAAAGACAGATGCTAACAAGTGTCAGAGGGTGTGGCGTCAGAACCCTCACAGCTGGGGAGACGTGCAAGGTGCAGCCGCAGGGAAAGCAGGTCAGCAGTTCCACAGAAGGCTAAGCAGTCGCCCTGTGAGCCAGCAATTCCGCTCCTAGTTACATGCCCACGAGAAGTGAAAACATGTCCACACAACACACAAATGTTCCCAGCAGCATTATTCCCAAGTCAAAATGTGCCAATATCCACGTCACTAGCGAGTGGATAAACAAAGGCACCTCCAAACGCTGGAGCAAGCGGGCAGTAAAGGGGAGCGACTTTCTGGCATTGGCTGCGACACGGGAGAACCTCGGACAGCCCCGCTGTCCTGAGCCCGACAGGCCATCAGGGCTCCGTTCCATGCAGGGTCCAGAACAGGGAAATCCAGACAGGCAGTAGCTCAGAGGGGCCTGGACTGGAGGTGGGGAGTGGCCACTCCTGGGGACGGGCTGCCTTTCAGGGGGATGAAGTTCTGCAACTACGTGGTGGGGGTGGGGGCGGCTCAGCACTGGAAACACGTGGAGCCACTGCACGCGTGCCTTAGAGTTACGGCAGGCGAGCTGTAACTCAACCAGGTTGTGTTTGAAACACACAGTGGGTCTGCTGAGCCGGCACCAAGGCCGGGGGAACTGGACCCTCACTGTGCCCGCTTCCCTTTGTGTTTGCATGAAAACAGCATTGACACAAGTGGGGCTTTTCCTAGCGTCCCTGAGCGGATGACCCCAGCAGAGGGCTGGGAGGTGGCTGGGTGGCCACACGCACATTCCCACACTGAGGAGTGAAGGACATGAAGACATCCCCAGACAAGTGCACGTGGAGAGAATTCATGCCAGGCCTTCCCCCCTGAACACACCGTCAAGTGCGCGGGCCCTGCCAGAGGCCCTGGGGACACGGCTGCCCGAGGGGAGCCCTGTGCGCCAGTGCCTCTTAGAAAGGCCCGACCCACAACCCGGATGGTGGTGTCCCCCACGGCCACGGCGCGTCCACACCCTCAGCATTTTAATCAGAAGATGCACCATTTCCTCACATTGAACACAATCATGGAGACGGAGGCCACTGCCCAGACCTGTTCGCTCTCCCCTCCGGGGCCCTGGCAGAGGGAGAGGAGCTGAGAGCAGAGGGGGCCACAGCACAGGTGCCCCTAACTCAGCGCGTAGTTAAACTGGTTTGCAAACTTCTCATGCTTCTTCTGGTCCATCTGGTTCATGGCTGTGACCACCCTCTGCACGGCCGCCCTGCAGGGAGAGCAAAGCGAGATGTGAGCAGGGAGCCCGGCTGGTTCCTGACCGGGGCCCGGCTACAATGGGGTTGGGTCCAGAGGCAGACGGGGCCCTCGGACCTCTCTCAGACTGCAGGCTGGTGAGTGACAGCGCGGAAAGGGCTGGCGCCGGAGCCCAAGAGGAAGCCCCGAGGCCGCGAAGCAGCGACTGCTGGGCCCTGTTCCGGGGGCTCGGTCACCCAGCTCTCCTCAGGGCCCCCAGTCACACAGCTGCTGCAAGCAGCCCCAGGATGCAGCGAGGACACGGCTCTGGGTCAGCACCCAGGGTGCCCTTTACCCCTGGCCGATCCACAGGAAACCAGCCTCGTGCCTGGAGCCTGGGGCCTCGCCCACATCTGGACATGGAAGGACACCACAAGCCAGCAGTGAGAAGCCCGTGGGGTTCCAGGTGGGCACCCAGGAAGCTGCCCTGCTGCCCAGCCCCACCTGGACCGGGTAGACAGCACAGCCAGCCCGGAGGGCAGCTGAGAGCCGTCAAGGGCGTAACTCCGAGGGGGCGGCCCTGCCTCATGGGGTTTCCTCAACAGAAGCCGCAAACACTCTCTGGCCACACCCTGAGCTGGTGGGAGCCTCTGACCACAGCAGCGGGCGGGGCGGTGGGCTGCTGGGCTGGCAGCCTTTCTACGAGGGCCCTGCCCTGACCCCTGACCCAAGCTGCTGTGAGAGCAGCACGTGGAGTGACCACCGTCCTGGAGGCACCGGCTGAGCTCTGCTGGGGCTGAGCCCGTGCCACGACCCTTCCACCCGACTGGGAGGGGACTGGCCACCCTGAAGTCATCGGGTGGACACCCCCAAGCACTGACCACGAGGGCCTCAGGCCAGTGCCCAGCCCTCCGGGTCGGCCGGGCGAGGGAAGACCCCGGCTGGCTCCGCCAGCAGCCCTGCTTGGGAAGAGGCTCACCCGTGACCACGGGGCGACCGCTCCAGGCTCCACCGAAGGGCCTGCTGCCCTCCCTGGCTGGGAGCCCCCGTCTGCCAGGGCCCAGTGGCCACAGGAAGAGATGCACAGCAGAGGGGGTGCCACGGGCCTCGGGGGACGGCTGGGAGCTTGGAACTGCCCTCTGGGGCTGTGAGGGGCTCTTACCTAGCGAAGACCTTCTTGGCGATGCGCGTGCGGGCGGTGTCTGCCTGCTGCTTCAGGTCGGTGAGGCCGGGGTGCCTCCTCTTCCTGCCTTTGCCTCTCCTGCCGGCCCTGGACGAGCCAAGGTCCACCCCTGTGGCCACCTCCACGTCCCTCATAAACTCGGGGTCCTGCCAGTCTGCAAACAGACCCGAGACTTCAGAAAACACCTGGCACCAACCGCGTGCCTCTCCCCGATCGCCCACAGTGACCGAAGGGGCAGGGAGGCCGCTGGCCATTCCCTAGGGCTGAGGCCAAGGCAGAGCTCCTCCCACTGCCTGCGCCCCAGGACGCAGCACCCGCACCACCAGCCGGGAGAGCTGGGCTGGGGCAGTGTCTCTCGCAGGCTGTCCTGCCGTCCAGGCTGGACTGTCCCCCGAGGCCCTCATCACGGCCTCTCAACCTGCCTGCTGGCCGAGGGCACGCACAGCAGGGGGCCCTGGCGAGGGCGCAGGGAGCGCTGGGCTTTCTTTGTGTTGGTCCAAAGGTGACTTGGCCACAGGTCTCAGCAGTGAGGGTGTGTGTTCACCCGGAGCCCTGCTCCTCCTGCACACGCCCTTCGCGGCCAGGCCTGGGGGCGGCAGTGGCCACAGGTGGCACCAGCCCGGCCGTGTGCTCATGTGCAGGGCTGCTGAGGGCTCTAAGGGGGCTCTGGCCCGGGGCAGGGGCAGGCATGGGGGTCAGAGGCCAAGGTGCCCACTCTGGCAGCCAGGGCCTGGTGCTCTGAAAGGCCTCAAGGGGCCCATGAGACATGGTGTGGGTCCAGCCAGCAGCTCAGAGGGCCACACAGGTCAGGAGTCACAGCACAGCACCCTGGCTCAGCCAGACAGACCCACAGGGGGTGCTGGACCCCCCACCTCGCAAACGGGAACCTGGGGGGCGCTGTGAGCAGAGCACGCAGGGCACAGGGAAGCCGTGCCGCAGACAAACAGACGGCGAGGCCTCCCCAAGTTGATTTTTTGAAGTGAAGGAAAACAGGCTGCAGAGCTCAGATCAGAGACGATTAATCCGAGATTAAGGAAAACTGTCTAAACAGTTTATCTCCCAGTAATAAGAAGGCGTCACAGTTTAGGAGCCCAGTGAATGGAGCAATTGTTTAAACACAACGGAAAGCGCGGCGCCCGCGCGAGATGGAACGAGCATCGCGGGGAAATGAAGGAGCAATTTAAAGCCCCTGGAGAAAATCAATAGCAGCCGGGCGCGCCTCCTGCGACGGCTGAGCCTGCATTGTCACCGGGGAGGCCCGGGAAGAAAATTGCCCCGCGTGCGGGAGGCGGGATCGATACTGCAGTTAGTGCAGAGACGCTATTTCACATCTGACTGGCCAGCCCGGCCCGGCCGCGGCCCATACCTGTTGTTAACAAGTCACCGCGGCTGGGAACAGGCACTCCTCAGGGCGACACAAAAACAGGCTCTTAATTTGCTCCTGAGTGTGCGCCTCCCGGGAGGCTCGCCTGCGGGTTAGCAGGTCCGACCCTCCTGCCCGTCGGGCCAGGGCCAGGCGCCGGCCGGGCATCAGGCTAAATCTCATCTTCGTCTCTCGGGACAAAGGAGACACTCCACTAATGACAAACACCGGCTGGGACCCCACACGCTGGCCAGCACCCCCCAGACTCAGCTGCCTCCCACCTTCCTCGGGGGTCTGGGGAAAGGACACCCGGTGGCCAGGGCCTCAAGACTCCAGTCCACTGAGCGCCCATGTGCTGCCCAGCCGGTGACGGCACCGCCCCAGGTCACCTCGCGGCCCTGCTGCATGGCACGTGCCCCAGCACCAAGCTGACCCACGCACCACGGTGAGACAGCTCCCTACACTGTCCTGAGCATGACGACGAGGGGCTGCAGCCCACTGGCCAGCTCATCTGAAACCGGCCCTCTGCCAGAAGATGGGGAGCCTGGCGAGGACCCCAAGGAGCATCTGGAGACGCAGTGCCCCTCGCCTCTGCCCACACACACACACACACACACACGCAAAACACAAGCGCAGCACACGAACACATGGGTGCACATACCACACACGGCGGGCGCGCGCACACACACAAACACACGCATGCAAAACACAAGCGCAGCACACGAACACATGGGTGCGCATACCACACACGGCGTGTGCGTGCACACACTATACATGCACAGAAACCACACACACACGCGTACGTGCACACACACCACACGTGCGAGGCAGCGGGATGGGGCTTGGCGAGAGCCAGACCGCAGGCACGAGGGCAGAACGAGCTGCTTCCTCTAAGCAGCGTGGCTCAGCCCATCAGCTTTTCTTGCCTCCATCCCCTCATTCGCCTGCAAAGCCTGATTCAGGCCCCAGAGCCCCACAAGCCAGTGGGGACAGGGCTCCGGGAGGGGGTGTGCCCACTCTCCCATGGGGTGCCGACACCCACAGGCTGTGTGGACCCAGGGGCCCAGCTAGAGGGGCAGGGTCCACACACAGATACACAGAGTCGCCCTGGTGGCTGCTGGGACCCACTGTCCCCAACAGGGCCCCGCCCCCGCCAAGTGCCCACCTGAGCGCCCGGCCTGCCTCTGCAGCTGCTGCCTCTGCTCCCGGGCCCTGTCCTCCGGTTGCAGGGGCCGCCCCGTGTCGTCTCTGGGGATGATCTTGCCGTGGAACGGGCACTGGGGCAAAGCACAGGGGTCGTCATCCTCCGCCTCTCGCCACCCACCCTCACCCTCGAAGGCAGGCAGGCGCCAGGCAGCTGCCGTCACGGAACAGGGTGAAGGGGCGCCTGGTGCCTGGGTCAGGCCCCGCAGAGCAGGCAGCCCAGGCACAGCCCGGGGTCGAGTGGTAGCTGCAGCCCGCACAGGCCCCCGGGCCCCACGGCCACGCTCACCTTCAGCCGGTCCTGGCGCTCACAGAGCCGGCCGTCGGGCCTGGGGGCCCGGCACCGGTGCTGCACGGGCTCGAAGCTCCCCGCGAAGGTGATGTGGCGGCTCCGCAGCACCTCCGAGACCTCGGGGCTGTCCACCTCCTCGTCCACAAGCAAGGGGCTTCCCACACCCCTCAGGCCCAGGCCCAGCCACTCAGAGCCCGAGGAGGCCAGAGGACAAGGGCAGTGGGACGAGACCCCGGTGACAAGGGCCGGAGGAGCCTGAAGG